AGAGCCGGAGGGGAGAAAGAGCAATCAGGGGGATCGTTTCATAAACTATATAAATGTCTAACCAACGTACCGTATACTTGAGACTAATAATAAAATAAAAATTTAAAAATAAATAAAAATAAAAATCTTTCTGGCAGAACTCAATGTAAGTCAAGAGGCAAATAACAAAATGGAAAAAACCCAATTGCATCTCATATCCTATAGGGCCAATTTCTCTCATATGTTGAGAGTTCCTGAAAAATCAATGGAAGACTATCGATCCCATGAAAAAACGGAAAAAAGATATAAACGGGCAGTTCACAGAAAAAGAAAGACAGAAGACTCTTAAATATATAAAAAGTTAATCAACCTCATTCACAATGAGGAAGTGTATGTAACATAAAACTACATAAGACAGCGCTTTCGATTCCCAAATTGGAAAGGAGCCAAAAGTTGATTGATACACTATGTTACTTTCATGTGGCTCAGTCAGCAACACCCGGTCAAGGCCTATTTGCAGTCTCGAATACACATGCTTTTTGACCCCACAATTCTCCTTCCAGATCCATCTGCCTGCCTATAAACATCCCAGCGCTTACACACAAACCCTCTAACCCAGCAATTCCACGTCCAGAAATTTACCTGACAGACGCACTGGCACATTGATGAAGTGCGTGCGTACCGAGGGACCGATTATCACAGCCAGGACTTGGAGATGGATTACCTTGGATATGGTCAGGAGGTGGCTAAGTAAATGACAGGCCAGGTGCATCATGAGGACGCGTTATCTATTTCTGTACAGTAGACGAAGGTGCTCTTCATGCACTGACGTGGGAAGGTCTCGAAAACAGACTGTGAGGCTAAGGAAAAAGGGACCAGACCACTGCGCGCTACCGGCTGCCATCAGTGGAAAAAGAAGACACAGCACCTATACACAGGTTCTGTCTGCACACAGACTCTTCGAAAGGACACCACTAACGGCGGAGACGAGGCCACCAAGAGATCTGATGGCAGAGACTTCACTGGATGCCTGTTCTGCTTTCTGAATTTTTAACGATGCCCACGTTTTACTTGCCAAAAACGCTTTCGAAAGTTCCTGTCGAGCTCT